TCTGTTAAACACAAAACATGGTATTTAAAAGAAAGCTGAAAACCATTGACTTCCATAGTAAAAACTAATACTGTGAAAGTCAATGGATACAGGTTTCTAGTGTTCTTCAGTGTATGTTCTTGTGCATTTAACAGAAGAAAGGAAATCATGGAGGTTTAAAACATGTAAAGGGTGAAAGGGTGTAGTTGGTGAATTATTCCTTGAATTAAAATATGGGCCATGTTCTTGTTTATTAGCATGAACTTGCATGAGTATGTGCTGCTTTATATACTGAATGCAGCGTATACTTATGCAGTGTTTATTCATGCATAATACAACATTTTTATTCATTTCTGTAGATTAGTGTGAATGGGTTATTTTGACAACATCGCAAAACCTATAAACTGTAATGTAAAAATATTTCCATTGTTCAGAACATTGGTGTCATGTAAGTGTGCCTAAAATCAGCTCAACCAGAGACCAGCTTAAAGAGCTCATTTATTGAGAAATCAAATTTCTCTTCATCTTTTGGCACATAAAATGTCATAAAGTTTCAGAAGTCAGAATGTTTTTGTTAGTTCAAAAGAGGCATGTATTGAAACCAAAGCTGCCAGAACGACTTGTTTTGGATTTAGTCTCAGTGGCCACATACTGTTATACTGCAGCTACATTTTGTTGTCAGTGTACCTTTTAGGGCTTAATCTTGTTCTGTACACAACGTTCAGTACTTTATAAGTTATAGCCAGATTTAACATACAGATTAAACTCCTGAAAATGCTAGTAATGGCAACCACATTCACAAGTGTGAGTGTGAACAGAACCAAACAGTTTGTTAGTGATGTGATGTGCTGTGCTGTGCAGGCCCACACAGAATCTGCTCCTGCAGAAATCCACAATTTCCCACTGATTGAACACATCACATTTATTTGCTTATGTAAATGTGTGTAAATATATATTTATTCAGTTTTTTAAACATTTGATTCAGTTATATTATTAAATGGTTTCGATCAGGGATGGCTAAACTAGGGCCCGCGAGCCAAAGTTGGCCCATATAACATTTGATTTGGCTCGCCATTCCATCTGAGAAGAGGAAGAATGATAGGCATTTCAAATGTAATGTAATCTTTTGTTTGTTTACTTTATTGTTAAACGCTGAAGCTTAATAGTTCAATTAATGTTGTAAATGAATCAGATTGAGTTTAAATGTACATGCCGTCACAAGATGCATAGAGGACAAATCAAGTCAAAGGCAGATTCTGCTTGACTAGTCTATTCAGCATTAAACTCTACTGTGTTATACATGTGATTATGTTATTATTGCAATGAGTTTTCATTTTAATTGTTATACTACATTAGGTAATATAATTTAAAGTATTTTTTATTTACTTTTAAATCTTATGAAATAAATTAGGAAATAACCAATGGCAGCTTTAATCTAATATAGCTTGGTATATTTACCCCACGGCTATCAATGAAATTTGTTTTTTGGCCCTTTATACGAAAAAGTTTGGGCACCCCTAGTTTAGAGAATTTGTATACGCTACAGTTTTTAAATGTATCTCTTTATATTTTAGAGTATGTTTTTTATTATTGTATTACTAGATTTCGTTAGTTGTACTAATTGGATTTGCAGTGTAAACCTAGAAACGCCAACTGAGCCAAGGTTCGAACCAGCGACCTTCTTGCTGGCGATAGCACTACCTACTGCACCATTGCATTGCCTACTCTCATAGTCATTCCACATAATTCCACAGATATACAACTGAAGTCAGAATTATTAACCCCCCTGAATTATTAGCCCCGCTGTTTATTTTTTCCCCAATTTCCGTTTAACAGAGAGAAGATTTTTTTCAACACATTTCTAAACATAATAGTTTTAATAACCAATTTTTAATAACTGATTTCTTTTATCTTTGCCATGATGACTAAATAATATTTGACTAGATACTTTTCAAGTCACTTCTATACAGCTTAAAGTGACATTTAAAGGCTTAACTGGTTAATTAGATTAACTAGGCAGGTTAGGGTTGTTAGGCGAGTTATTGTATAATGATGGTTTGTTCTGTAGATTATCGAGAAAAATATAGCTTAAAGGGGCTAATAATTTTGACCTTAAAATAGATTTTAAAGAATTGAAAACTGCTTTTATTCTAGCTGAAATAAAACAAATAAGACGTTCTCCAGAAGAGGAAATATTATCAGACATACTGTACTGTAAAGATTTCCTTGCTCTGTTAAACATCATTTAGGAAATATTTGAAAAAAGAAAAAAGATTCAAAGGGGGCTAATAATTCTGATGTCAAATGTACATACTTATTTAATAATTTATTTATTTGACAAAATTCTGCACAGAAAAAGCCAAAAAAGAAATGTCTGCAGATTCTGTCTGGCCCTGGTGATGCACTTGGTAATGCACATCAGAGATGTCTCTCTCCTTTGTATGAGCTCAATAATAATCAGCAGTATGGAGCTAAATTCACAGGAAAAGAGGTACAAGCCGTGACTTATTTGTGTTGCTAGATATTGCTAGTAAAAAACAGAGAACAAGAAATAAATCAAATTATTTTGAAAATAATGCTGAAGAATCGCCACCCACGTCAGCCTACTCATCATAAAGGTGATCAATATATGAGCTAAGTCTAAAGTCTAAGTGATTCTAGAAATGCCTGTTTTTACAGTGCATGTTTAATACGTGCATACCTTTTGAAATGTACAAATTAATTCTAAATTTTATGCCAAAAAAACCCATATTCTTTTCAGCATTCTTCACAGCAGTGCCCATCTATTATTTTAATATGCAAAACTGTTACTTAATCAGAGCAGTAGGCGTTTACTTACAAGTCCTGAATGCGTGGTGTGTCTGTCAACACGGTGTCTCAAAAACAGGAGAGATTATTACTTCTAAATTGTGGTGATGTTGTTAAAATCTCGCTAACATTATAAGTAGACCGAGGAGAACATTATAAATATGCTATTCATGACTTCTTTTGAAGTTTATGTCCTCTAGTCTGGCTGTTGAAAATCGTCATCCACATCCTCCCTATGGTTCTACAGTAAATCTGTTTGCAATATTATTATTATTATTCTATCCTAAGTGTATTGCTGGCCCTGTAGCTAGTTAGACGATCCCTGGGGTGGAGCTTTCCTTTTTTACCTCCCCCTAAAGCGTAGTTGTATATCTTTGCCAGCACATCATGTTCCAATGTTTCAGCAGAGTCAGACAGCTTTAATGAGCTCCAATTGCACTGATCTCATAATGAGGATTGTCATCCAGAGACGATGAGCTGAGATTGAGGGAAAGAAAGTGAAATATATGATTGTTGGTAGTTTTCTGATTGTGCGCTCTGGTAGTTGACAACATTATTAGACTTATGAGTGGTTTTGCGATGTATTCGCCGTGTTGATTGCATTTGTTAGAATGTTCTTTGAACAGAATTTGCCGGACTGCTTACTGTATATTTGATACTTCAAACTCAGCTTTGCTTAAAATTTCTGTGATATAGAAAACTGGAGCAAGGATGCTAAAAATTTAGAGAGTGTTTCATATTTCAGCTAGTTGCAAAGGAAACATTTCTCATTTTCATGGCAAATCTATCATTGAAACTGACATTACACTCAATGATGCTTGCTGTTTGTTCAAACTACTTACAGAGCTCAGTGTATAAAAGTACACCCCTCACAAATTTATCTTTTAAATTCATATTTTTAATGGAAAGCTATACAATGTTATATTTCTGCATACTGTATACATTAGATAAGTCAGTACTAAAGCCAGATCTGGAGCGTATCTAACAAAATAACTTATAACGGTAACGGCCCAAAAACTAGTACACCCAAATTTATATGATATAGAAAAATATCAAATACAAATTTTAAAAAGAGAAAAAAAATCAAGAGAAGAAAAAAAAATGTAGTTAACATTTTGTAGGTTGTATTTTTTATTTTTTAACAATATTTTGCTTGGTTTTAATTGTATTATCTTTTAATTTCTAAATATGTTTGGTGACTAAAATATCATTTTAATAAATATATCTGCCAAAATACATTGCCTATGTTCACTAAGAAATTGTTACAAATTTTCAAAATGGAGTGTACTCAAATATGCTGAGCACTGTAAAATCTCACTTAAAAATCACTTCTGACCATGCAGTTGTGGAAAATACACCTGTTTTTTCACAAGTTTACAGGGTCATCTGTATCATGGTTTGTTGGGACACAGGTTTACAGTAAGTGCGTGCGTAAATCATTCATACACAACAAGCAAAGTGGTTTAAAAGTGAGAACATGGTTTTCCGGGACAAGAAACAAAACAAAAAACACTGAGTGAGGTTAGTTGCATACTTGACTTCATCATTCATTCATCGTTCATTTTATTTGGAGTCATAAAATAACACAGTGGGTCTCAGATTTACAGGGTCACTGATGTGTCCCTGTATACTAGGGTGACCCTGTAATGCTGGTAAATAACCTGGTGTTGTTTGGACCCTGTAAACCATGTATACAAGAACACACACACACACATTTGTTTTTGTAAATTATAGGGACATTACATAAGTTTCCATTGTTTTAATACTGTTCAAATTGTATTTTCTATTGCCCTAAATGCAACCATCTCAGGACACTGTACAGTTTTACTTTCTGAAAAACCCCCAATTAATGTGTCATTTATATGTTTTTTTAAAAGAAATGTGGACATCAGCAATTTCCTTTTTGCATCAGATATAAAAAAACAATGAAGTTCAAACTTGACAAACTGCTTGTTTTGCTTCTAGAACTTCTCTACAAGATCTGAGCACACTGTAAAAACGTCCTAAAATGCTGTTTTTCTGTCTGTCATGAAATACAGTATATCTCTTATAGTCATTGCAGTGCATTAAAGACATATGCTTCTTAGTATACGTCTTCTCTTGGAATCAAATGACTGACATGTATAGCATGAACAAAGACGCAATGAATCAGTGTTTACAAATAATGAATCTAACATCTCTTTTTTTTTTTTTTTTTTGTTCTGTCTCTGCAGGAATCCTCATATTCATTTGCACTGAAATGCCTTATTAGCCTCTCCACTGTAATTCTACTCTGTCTGATCATTATGTACCACGCAAGAGAGATCCAGGTAAGCAGACGATTCAGCCGTAAATATCAGCAGAGACTAAAACACCAGCCTGATAGATTACAGAGAATCACTTATGCCAAATTTCTCATGACTTATGGCAAGACACTGCAGGTGAACAGAGAAAACAAATATATATACTTGCAGCTGTGCACAAGACGTTTGGCCAGCGGAGAAATTAAAATGGTCGTGCCCATCTGAGTCTGGTTTCTCTCAAGGTTTTTTTTTTCTTCACTCGCCTCGGTGAAGTTTTTTTTCCATCTCCGCTGTCGCCACTAGCTTGCATGGTTTGGGATTGGTAGAGCTACCCATCGATGAATTTGCTCTTCAGTGTTTGAACTTTCAGTAATGATTTTAAACCATACTGACTGAACTGAGCTAAACTGAACTGAACTTAAACACTAAAAACTGAACTACTCTGTTCCAATTACTATGACCATTTTTGTGAAGCTGCTTTGACACAATCTACATTGTAAAAACGCTATACAAACAAAGATGAATTGAATATATATATATATCACCATACTCTAGTCTAACAGTTGATTTATTACAGCTGCAGATATTTGTTTGTGTTACAAGTAAAATGGTATGTGTAAATAAGCAAATGAGCCATTATTTTGTGAAATATGCACTAATTTGCATACATTTCTTTCACAAAAATTGGAACATTTGACCAAGTCAGATTTAAAGTTTGTGTTTAACAAATTTTTTTTCTTACATTTTAGTCAAAGGTTTTAGTTAAAGGCTCCATAATTCAGAACCTTCAGTGGAAAAACACATAAATTATTTTGTAGAATAAAATGTTTTATATAATCAAGCTCATTGTGAATTAACATGTATATCTGTATAAACCTTTAAAATATACACTACTGGTCAAAAGTTTGGGGTCATTTTTTTTTTTTTTTTTTTTCAAAGAAAATGATTCTGTTCATCAAGGCGGCATTTATTAAATGTAGAAAAAATGTAATTGTTAAATATTTATTAAAACTTTATATAACTGCTTTCTTATTGTAAATAGTTTCAAATGAAATTTTTACTCCAGTCATTATTGCTTTTATTACTGTTACCATTAATAATAATGATAACAACAACAACAATAATAATAACTAATATTATAGTGATTTCTGAAGGATCACGTGACTCTAAAGACTGGAAGCAATGAAGCTGAAAATTCATCATTAAAATCACTGGAATAAATGATTAAATTAAATGATAAACTACGTTTGAACAGTTATTTTAAAGTGCAATGATATTTCATAATTTTACAATTTGTGCTGTATTTTTGATTAAATAAATGTAGCCTTTGTGAGCAGGAGAAGCTTTTTTAAAAACATTTAAAAATCCTACTGACCCCAAACTTTTGACTGGTGGTGTAGATATAAATAAAACTTTATTAAACAGAATAAAACAGATTTAAGGCTCAGTGAGGGAGGAAAAAAACTTGTTTTGAGAATTAAAAAAAACCTTAAGAAATATGTATTGTAATTAATATTTACAGTGACAAATTGATAGCCAGAAGTACAAACGACTTTCCTGCTGTTACCAGTTTGTCCAGTTAGCTCGCTATGAATGTCGGCAAACTTGAAATGCAGAGAGGAGTTGACCATGATGACAGTGTTTGAGTCTGGTGAAAAACGGTTCCAGAAAGCGTGTAAGACAAAAACAGAAGCGAAAAAATAAAATAAATAAGTAAATAACAGGGTGAGAATGTGGTAAAATTTGAAAATGTGGTAAAAATCAGGCGAGGGTTTTTATTTTTCTGGGTTGCTTTTTGAAACAGTCAGTTTGGTTTAGGGAAGTGGGTGGATGGATCAATCGGTTCTTTTAAAAACACTATTGGATGGGTTTAGGGAAGGAGGAGGGTGAGTCAGTCAAGTCAGTCAGTAGCTACCTCTAGTGGATTTACGAAAACCAAAACTGAAAAGAAAAAAAAAAACGTAGCTCCTGGGATGTATTTGGTGCTCTCCAGAAATGTACATAGCTTTATGTTTTCAGAATGAGCCTTGGTTGCCTTTTTGTCACTCCATAACATAGAAAATATTATTTAAAGTCAGGGGGGGGGGGGGGGGGGGGGGGGGGGGGACGAATCATTTTGTAGAATAAAATGTTGCATACTGTATAATAGAGCACATTTTGAATGAATATAAATCTGTATGAACCTTCAGAATATAGATGAATAAAATTTATTAAACAGAAAAAAAACAGATTTAATGCTCAGTGGAGTGTAGAAAGAAACTTGTTTTGAAAAGGACTTCAGAAATATGTGTTGTAATTGCTATTTACAGATAAAAATCTATATAGCATGATAAAAAACACGTAATATTTTTTTACATTTTAGTCAACGTTTTTTCAGAGGGGGATTTTGAGAATCTCTGGTTGCAGCATAGGCTCATCCTGAAAATGTCCCCCATATACATTTCTGGAGATCGCCCATATATACATTTCTGGGATCTGATAGTTGCAGAAATCAGGTAAGACAAAAACAAAAGCCAAAAAATTAAATAAACCAGTAAATAACAGGGTGAGAATGTGGTCAAATCAAAAAACGTGGTAAAAATCAGGCGAGGGTTTGTCTTTTTTTGGATTGCTTTTTCAAACTTTCAATTGGGTTTAGGGAAGTGAGTGGGCGGGTCAATTGGTGCTTTTAAAAATACTATTGGTTAGGTTTAGGAAAGGGGGAGGGTGAGTCAGTCAGTCAGTCGGTCAGTCATTTAGTCAGTCGACAGCGTCCTCTGGTGGATTTATGTAAGAACTTCAGGTGAGAATGGCACCTGCGAGAGAAATTTGCGACCTCAAAAAGCGGCCTCTGGTTGGTTTGCGAAAACAAAAACTCCACAAAAAAAAAAACAGCTCCTGGGATGTATGTGGTGCTCTCCAGAAATGTATATAGCGGAACAGTTTCAGAATGAGTCAGAGTCATCTTTTTGACACTCCATAATTCAGAAAACATTGTGAAAAAGCCAGGAAAAATGTATCATTTTGTACAATAAAATGTTGTAAATATTTAAGCACATTGTGAATGAATATACGGTTGAAGTCAGAATTATTAGCCCCCCTGAATTGTTAGCCTCGTTTATTTTTCCCCTAGTTTCTGTTTAACGGAGAGAAGATTTTTCCAACACATTTCTAAACATAATAGTTTTAATAACTAATTTCTAATAACTGTTTTATTTTATTTTATTTAAATATTTCTACTTAAATAAATTTATTTTATTTAATATTTGGCTAGATATTTTTCAAGACACTTCTATACAGCTTAAAGTTACATTTAAAGGTTTAACTAGGTTAATTAGGTTAACTAGGCAAGATAGGGTAATTAGACATGTTATTGTGTAACGATGGTTTATTCTGTAGACTATTGAAAAGAAATATAGCTTAAAGGGACTAATTATTTTGACCTTAATATGTTTCTAAAAAAATTTAAAACGGCTTTTATTCTAGCTAAAATAAAACAAATGAGACTTTCTCTTGAAGAAAAAATATTATCAGACATACTGTGAAAATGTCCTTGCTCTGTTAAACATCATTTAGGAAATGTTCTTCACAAATTGAAGAACACTTTAAGAAAGGAAAAAAGCCAAAAATCTGACAATTGACAGGTGCATGAAAAACCTGTTTTTGCCTGCAGTGTCTTGCCTAATAGTATTGGCAGAAGGAAAACTCACTCTAGCTATTATATTTCCTGAGATCTGCATTCAGAGTCTGTACTGTTCTACCTATCCATTAAAAGCTCTTTACAGAGAAGACGCTGATTTTGATTAATGATGGTATTACAAGTGGGGCTTATGGCTAATAGGAGACATAATTTAATACAAGCCTGTCAATCAGTTGGTTTGTAAGCATTATTTCATGACTTGGAGCATCAGCTGGCGGTCACATTACTGAACAGATGAACAATTAAAAACCTTTTCTCCTGATTGCAGGTTGTGTACATTACAAAAACGTAAAAGGTCCACGTCATAATGAAAATACTGAAACCTCAGAGAATATATGAGGCTCAATTTTTCTTTTGACTAGTTGCCTTCTGGCTTACATGTGTTGGCTGTTTATTAGTTCTTATAAGTAACATATAAACTTAGCTATTGCATCAACTGTCTTACTATTACTCATTCATTCATTTTCTTTCGGCTTAGTCTCTTATTTATCAGGGGTCGCCACAGTGGAATGAACCACCAACTATTCCAACATATGTTTCCAACACCCATACACACTCATTCACACACACTCTCACAAACTATGGCCAATTTTGTTTACCCAATTCACTTAAAGCGCTTGTTTTTGGACTGTGGGGGAAACCAGTAGACCTCGAGGAAACCCACACGAACACAGGGAGAACATGTCCACATGTAATTTAAGAATTTATTGAAGCTAAGTCATAGTTAATAGTTAATATGTCTTCCAGAGACTTAATTTCTATTTAATAGATACATAGATAGACCCTCCTGTGAAATTTAAATTATTTCAATTTGAATAAGTGCTGATTAATGGAGAAAAGTTTTTTGCAACACATTTTTAAACAAAAGGTTTAACTAATTTCTAATAACTAATTGCTTTTGTCCTTGACAGGATAACGGTACATAATATCCTACTAATTATTTTGCAAGATATTTGTATTCATACATTAGTAATAAGGCAAATTAGCCTGCTTTAACTAGGCAAATAAGGTTAATTAGGCAAGTCATTTGACAACAGTGCTTTGTTCTGTAGCCAATCTGAAAAAAATAAATCTTAAGGGGGCTAAAAATTAATATTGACCTTAAAAATATTTGTAAAGGATTAAAAAATGCTTTTATTCCAGCCAAACTGAAAGAAAAATTTATTTTTGGAAATACTGGAAAAATTTCCTTGCTCTGTTAAAGCTGCTGTATGGAAGTTTTTGACTCTTGTGCATGAAAATACCATAATATGTTTGCAGATATTTAAGAAACATGCAAAGTAAACAGTCTTGTTTATTCTGAAAAACAACGCTGAAGTCAGATATTCTGCTTTGAAAATATCCATCAAAGACCAGACCGGCTGTCTTTGTTTTGGTTCTTTTAACCCGCCCACTGCCAGTTTAGCCAATTATATTGCAGCACCTCGGGTTGCCTTGGTGGAAAACCGCATATTTCATTTTTTCAAGTCAAGAAGGCTTTTAAAGCATGCGTCTGTGACTGAAATGTGACCTTCGGTGGACAGTAGCAGACTCTGAAATGAGACTCAGATTTAGAGTTCCACATGAGGGGCTTATTAATTAGCAAAAAAAAAAAAAAAGTAATTAGTACAAATGTAAACATTAGGTGAGCAGGTTACACTGTACCCCGTGTGTGTCCTAACAACATTCTACATGACGAGTTTTGCAGTGATAAGCAATTAAGGCTGTTTGCACCAAACGAAAGATGACAGAAATTTAAAATAAGCCATTCAATAGCACAGTATACGCACTCACTCACAAAATGGTAATGTTTATAATCCAATTAATATATATTAAACCTCTAACATTATTAAATGTACATGCTGAATCACTGATATGTGTTGGTTTTCTGTTGTTTAGCTGCAAGAAATGAAAGCCATTTCTAATATATCAATTCAAGGAGTTGGTTAGAACAAAAACTCCTTTTAATATAAAAATATTCCTTCTATAGCGTGCTGTTGCTTTTATATAGAACACAATTTAAATCAGCCTTTAGGCTCGATAGTCAGACTCACTCCTGGTGGTCCTCAGTTTGGCTGGCTTGCGTTTGTTTTAATCCAGGAATGCAAAACCTAATACTGCACCTTTAAATATCATTTGGGAAAATTTTTAAAAAGAATAACAATTTCACGGGAGGGCTAATGAATTTCCCTTTAACTGTATGCATCAGATAAAAATATCTGAAATTCTTTTACAGTAAATTAACTGAAAATTATATGTTAAATGAGTATTTAAATCAGTTTAATACCTGTTTATTTCATCTTGGATTTTGCTGTCTAGAAAGTGAAACTTTCATTATTAGCGCTTATCATAGTATTTAACTCTTTATGATAAATTGCTTTGCTGTATTCTGCACATAACTTTAAATAAAAGTGTCTGGTTAACAAAGAAATCTAAATGTTAAATATTAAAAGTAATTATATACCATATATTTACATGGCAAAACATATACTGTTGAAGTCAAAATGAGTAGCCCTAAAGGATTAGCCCTATAAGTATATCTATTATAGATATATATAATTTTATTATTATTATTTTTTTTATTTTGCAAATGCTGTTTAATAGAGCAAGGACATTTTCACAGTGTTTCCTATAATATTGTTTCTACTAGAGAAAGTATTATTTGTTTTATTTCGGCTAAAATGAAATAAAACATTTTTTAAAACCATTTTAAGGTCTAATAAGGTCAATATTATTAGCCCCCATAAGCAATATTTTTTTATGATTGTCTACAGAACAAACTATTGTTATACAAAGGCGTGCCTAATAAACCCAACTTGACCTAGTTAAGCCTTTAAATGTCACTTTAAGCTGAATACTAGTGTAAAATATTATTGTTATTAGAAATTATTTATTAAAATTTTTATGTTCAGAAATGTGTTGAAAAAACTTTTTTCTGTTAAACAGAAATTGAGAAAAAAATACACAGGGGGCTAATTATTCAGGAGGGCTAACAGTTCTGACCTCAACTATATATAGGTGGGTTTTTTTTGTTAACAGATCCTCATATTCCTTACTGATTGTCCTGTCTGTTGTGTGATGTCCAGCTCTTTATGGTGGACAATGGCGCAGACGACTGGCGGATTGCCATGACGTACGAGCGGATCCTCTTCATAGTCCTGGAGCTGCTGGTGTGCGCCATCCACCCCATCCCAGGCCAGTATGTGTTCACATGGACGGCCCGCCTGGCCTTCACCTACACGCCGTCGGTGGCAGACGCAGACGTGGACATCATCCTGTCTATCCCCATGTTCCTGCGCCTCTACCTGATCGGCCGTGTAATGCTCCTGCACAGTAAACTCTTTACAGACGCCTCGTCGCGCAGCATCGGAGCCCTCAATAAGATCAACTTCAACACGCGCTTCGTCATGAAGACCCTCATGACCATCTGCCCAGGCACCGTCCTGCTGGTCTTCAGCATCTCGTCATGGATCATCGCCGCCTGGACTGTGCATGTCTGCGAGAGGTGAGGAAAACAGGGATTTCAGCATAAAAACTAATTGTACAATGAGGATTGAGGCAAGATGCTGTATTTAAGTGCACCTGTTGCTTTGGAGTTTTTATTAGTTGATTGAAAGAAATAGTCAAAAAACACACTTGATTCTTTTGCCACACTTTATTAATTAGTGTCTGCAGATTTTTTTATTATGGATATTTTTAAAGGAGGTTTTCATAAAGTTGCTTTTCTTTAATCACTTCAGCAGCACTTAAATAAACCAAGCATTAAAATTTTATTTATATCTACATTCTAAAGGTTTTCATAGAGGAATCTGTTCATACATACACTGTAAAAAAATTACAAGGTGCCGTATTTTGTGATTGACAAGAGTTTTTATTTTATTTTTAAGTTTATTTGCTGTTGTGACTTGCATTATGGGACCTTAGTCTCTGCTTTGTTGACTTTTGGTGTTAAAAATTCAACTCCAACCTGCAAAGCTCAGCTCAAATGTAGTAGTGTCCCAATTAGTTAAGATATGGATTCAATTTAGGAAACACACAGGTTTACATAGGTCTTTCATTCTTTCTCCAATATTTAAAAACCACTGTTTTGCACCATCTAATACTTATGCAGCTTTCAGAATGTGGTTTGATAAGGGCATAAAAACAATTTGTGGCCTCTACGAGAGTGGTGTTTTCTCATCCTTTAATAACCTTTCTAAAACATTTGACCTACCTATTTCACACTTATTTATTTATTTATTTATTTATTTATTTATTTATTTATTTATTTATTTATTTATTTATTTATTTATTATTTATTATTTATATATTTATTTATTTATTTATTTATTTATTTATTTATTTATTTATTTATTTATTTAAAAACATTTTTTAAGACAGGCACTTTGTGCAAAAACTATTCCCTCATTTTCCAAATAGACCTCCTGAATCTCCACTAGATGACTTGTTAAAGGGCCATGAAACCCCCCCTGTTTCAGCAGGGTGTTTTCACTCCTCTAGTTTGGAAAAAGTCAGGAAAGTGGGTGTTTCTAGCTCGGTTTAGGTGGGAGTGTCGGGGGAGGGAAAGAGGGAAGGATTTGAATAAAAATGGTAGTTTCCATTTGGGCATTTCACCGAGGCAAAACAAACACACACACAGGGGAGAAAGACAGTGACTGTGTTTACTGACAGTGGAATGTTTGACATTGCACATCGTATAAGAGAAAAAAACCTCTGTATTTATCGGTTGGTAGTTAGGTAGGTAGTAGGTAGGTCAGAAAGCCGTGTGTGTGTAGACTATCCTGTCACAAAATACGTTGAAAATTTAACACAGCGGTCGGTAATAGTTTGATTGTGGTGTTTATATGTTAACACTCGGAGAGCAGCATTTATAGCGGATCTTTCAGTCTATAATATTGTAGTGACTTTAACGTACTGTAAACGAAGTAACTTAGAAATCAGTTTAACTAAGGTCTGTCTTTAAACACTGAAAGAGTACTGCTGACGATATGAACTAACTTTGCGTCTGAATAAACAATAAAAAACCACTGATCGGTCACTTACCACATCTGTAGAGACAAGACAATCAACACCAACTGGAGCCACATCTTTATTAAAAGGAGACAAGCAGCAAATCCAGATTTCACCATTTCCAGATGCGAAAAGCTCTCGAGTAAAAAATGTTCCGTACAAATGTATTTCTGCCGCGTGTCGCGTGCACTGTAATCCACACGTGAGTCCAGCTGCGCTTTCATAGTGGGAAAATGAAAACAAAACCTTAGTTCCCCTTCGGTTGGGGAACTTCAGTGCCATGAATGGGAGGATTCGGATCAGAAGCCGCTTATCTGGAGAGTATTGAACGGGCCAATGAATGAAATTAATTGGCAGCGTAAGCTTGCGCAGGTGTGCGACATCTGCAATCATCTCAGCATATAAGCACACCTGAAGCCAGCAGACGCCATCCTTTTCGCTTCAGATCCTTTCTGAGTGAGTCGATGAGGGTTCCTCTTGCTGATCAGCACTTCAGAGCGAATGAGTGTGTCTCCCGGTCCAGAGTGGGTCTTCGCGGTGGCAGACGGTCGAGCTGGGTTACTCCCTTGCCTGCGGTTCTTTGGGTCCGGTCCTCCAGAGCGGTGCGTATAGTTGCAACTTTCCTAAAAGAGCAACACAGTCGTGCAGCACGTCCTTTTCAGGATGGCGCTCCGACTGTGCGTTTCTGGATGCGGGGGTTTCCTGTCTCCGGATGATGGACACGATCACTGCATTGCATGTTTGGGGGTCCAGCATGTTAATGCGGTGCTCGCGGGCGGTTCATGTCGTCATTGCGATGCCATGACCGTTGCACAGCTAAGATCGCGGCTAACTTTCGCAAGAGAGCGAGCCACCCCAGTTGCCTCCTGTTCTAAAAAAGCAGCGGGCGCTCGGGCAGATCTGAGGGTTTCAGCGGGAGCTAATCCGCCGCCCACGGGCTCGCGGACCTCTCGCTCCTCACGGCGCTCCATCCAAGCTTCGGGTGGTGAGAGTGATCCGTCTAACCAGATGGTAGCTCTCACACTCGCTGACACCGGAGATCAGATGTCCTCCGCGGCATCGGAGGGTGGGCTTTCACTGTCTGACGAAGATCCGGACCCGCTCGCCCCCTCCGGGCAGGTGAGCGCTGTCAAATCGGATCCTGAAGCGGACATGTTAGCCGTGCTTTCCCGGGCTGCTTCGGCCGTGGGGTTGGAGATGGTTTATCCCCCAGCTCCGCGGCCGGACCGACTAGATGGGTGCTACGTAGAGGACCAGAAGGCGAAGCCTTCGAAGCCTCTCGTCCCCTTCTTCCCGGAAGTGCACAGTAAGCTCACGCAGTCCTGGAGGGCACCTTTCTCTGCCCGTGCTGCGAGTGCCTCCGCCCTCACCGCCCTTGACGGCGGAGCTGCCAGGGGGTATGAGGCGATCCCGTCAGTGGAGCGCGCTATCGCGGTCAATCTTTGTCCGCGCGGCGCCTCTACGTGGCGGGGTTTGCCCCGCCTCCCGTCCAAAGCCTGTAGGTTGTCTGCCTCCCTCGGAGCCAGAGCTTATAAGGCTGCGGGCCAGGCTGCTTCTGCTTTGCACGCGATGGCCACCTACCAGCGCTACCAAGCGCAGGCGCTGGCCGAGCTGCACGAGGGCGGGTCCAACCCAAGCTTATTACATGAGCTGCGCACCGCGACCGACTATGCTCTTCGGACTACTAAGTCCGCCGCGTGTGCGCTGGGGAGGACGATGTCCACACTTGTGGTTCAGGAACGCCACCTCTGGCTAAACCTGGCCGATATGCGCGACGTTGACAAAGTTCGCTTTCTTGATTCGCCCATATCCCAGGCTGGCCTGTTCGGCGACACCGTCGGTGAATTCACCCAGGAATTCAAGGCGGTGAAAGAGCAGTCGGATGCGATGGGCAATGTCATCTATCGGCGTGGCCGTAAGCCCGCTCCGCCCGCCGAGCCATCCACCTCCGCTGTTCCTCGCCGAGGGCGCCCGCCAACGAGTGCTGCCCCGCCCCCGCCTGCGCCTCCGGCCAAGCGGGCGCGGCGTTCACCTCGAAAGCAGGCAGCCCCTCCTGCCCAGGGCGCCGTTAAGTCCGGTAAACGGACCGCGAAGCGTCCCTGAGACAGGCCATCCGGAGAAGAGGAAACTTGCTCTTTCCCCGCTGGTGGGCGGGGCCCCGATTACAACGGTACTTTTCAGTGCCACCAAAACATCAGTAAAAGAGCACTTTTCCCCTTCCCCGGATGTGACTGCACGAGTTCTGCCAGTCCGGGACGCGCTGCCTTCCGGCTCGCAGACTCTACGTGCTTCGCCAGTGGCTCACGAGCGCTGGGGGGACGGTCTCCCTTCCCTCAGCCCTCCAGCCCCCTCTCCGGAGTCAGGGTGCGGAGCCAGAGCGAATCGCTCTCCTCCAGCTTTTCCGCGGGACCCTCGTGCTTCCCGGATCAGCACACCCACTCCGCGCTGCCCCACCGCTGGTACGTCAGCGATTGTAGCGATGACTCCATTAGCGAGGGCTCTGCCTGCCTGGTTAGCGCGGGCCAGCCCCTCGCGGTGGCTCATACGCACAATCAGACTCGGTTACGCGATTCAGTTCGCGAAACGGCCCCCCAAGTTTACGGGCGTGTATTTCTCCAGGGTCAACCCCCTGTCCGCCCCTGTCTTGCGAGAGGAGATTGCTGCCCTCCTGGCGAAGGGTGCAATCGAGCCGGTTCCTCCAGCCGAGATGGAGAGTGGGTTTTACAGCCCATACTTCATCGTACCCAAAAAGAGCGGTGGGTCACGGCCAATCCTAGATCTGCGCGTTTTGAACCGCTGTCTGCACAAGCTGCTGTTCAGAATGCTCACGCAGAGGCGCATTCTCCAATGCGTTCGTCCTCGGGATTGGTTTGCAGCCATAGACCTGAAGGACGCGTATTTCCATGTCTCCATTCTTCCACGCCACCGCCAATTTCTGCGGTTTGCGTTCGAGGGTCGAGCGTGGCAGTACAAGGTCCTCCCCTTCGGGCTCTCTCTGTCTCCGCGGGTCTTCACCAAACTCGCGGAGGGTGCCCTAGCGCCCCTTCGGCTCGCGGGCATTCGCATACTCAATTATCTCGACGACTGGCTGATTTTAGCCCACTCGCGGGAGCAATTGATTATGCACAGGGACGAGGTGCTTCGGCATCTCCGCCTACTGGGGCTTCAGGTCAACCGAGAAAAGAGCAAACTCGCCCCCGTGCAGAGGATTTCTTTTCTCGGGATGGAGCTGGACTCGATCACCATGGTAGCGCACCTCTCCGAGGAACGCGCTCGCCTGTTGCTGAACTGTCTGAGGGAGCTCGACAGCAAACTAGTGGTCCCACTGAAGTTCTTTCAGAGGCTCCTGGGGCATATGGCATCCGCAGCCGCCGTCACGCCGCTCGGGTTGCTCCATATGAGACCACTTCAGCACTGGCTTCACGATCGGGTCCCCAGACGCGCATGGCACGCGGGCACACACCGGGTCTCGGTTACTGCGCTGTGTCGCCGCGC